AATAATGGCCCGATCATGCTGATTTTCGAACTTGACCTGCGTTTTATGAATATTCATCAGCTCTGTAAATATAAAGCCAAAAAGTAAAACTGCCTTCCACTTATCGTGTTTACAAGGAAAGTGCACGGCGACGGCATCGCCATCGGCGACGACAGACGCAGGTGATGGCAATATGTACAGACACATCTGTGTCTGTACATAAAAAAGAAATACAGGACTAAAATGCAGCCTGAGTTGGAAAAGCAGTCTAATTGACTTCTTTTTCTGGAAGTTTTACATCTTCAAAGTGTGAACTTGAACTCCCATGGGCCTGAAGCCTTATGCTTGTTTCACATTTTACTTACATTGGTATTACCTGTTGAGCATAATTAAAATTTGATGTTGAATTTGCAGTTTAACATAATGTACTTTTGCATCAGAATTGACAGTAGCCTATTTTGTTATTTCCTGCTTTTTGTCTGTACATTTGACAGCTTTGCTGCCTTGTTTTCATTTAAGGTTGATCAAACTGTATTTATCTGTAGTGTTAAATTTATTTTATTTATTTGGCTACAACAGCTTGGTGTGATTGCTGGGAGAAACAATTGACTTTAAATGTATCCAAGGCAACTGACCAGTAGATTTGGTACCACACTGGTGAAAATAAGGAATTTCTCAAAATAAATTCTGATTGAACTAGTGGAAATTTTACCTAGGTATAACCCATACCAACCATTTTAAAAAAGAAACAGTGTATTAGGTGATTCAAAGTACTTGTTGTAGCTGTTGTACTAGAGATACTAGTTGTGTTAGTTGTGACAACTGATGTAGCTGTTGTACTAGAGATACTAATTGTGTTAGTTGTGACAATGGTTGTGACAACTGATGTAGCTGTTGTACTAGAGATACTAATTGTGTTAGTTGTGACAAGAGTTGTGACAACTGATGTAGCTGTTGTACTAGAGATGCTAATTGTGTTAGTTGTGACAAATGATGTGACAATTGTGATATTAGTTACTACAGTTCCCACCTTGTGGATCGAACTCCTTGGCTAAAATCTCAGCTATTTCTTTAACCCACATTGTCTCGTTTGCTAGGATGTGACGACCACCTACGTTCAAGCGAGCATGCACACACATGCAGTGTAAAGGGAAATTAAGGACAGTTTTCAAGTAATAAAAACGTAGAAAGTTGCAATAAATAAAGAGTCAGAAATGGAAGACATTTTTGGTGCATGATAAAAAAGAGGTTTGGATAGGTAGACAAAGCACAAGCAAAAAAGCATTGCAAAAGAAAGAAAAAACCATTGCATTACAAACTACAATTTACATATCTAATAAATAATACATTATCTGCCCATCACAGAATGCTATAACATACTATCCTCTCTGCAGTAGTGGCATGCACATATTGTTGACTAGTACAATGCTTTGTGTAGTATACAGCCAGCCTAGAAACCAAGACAACATCCAGGTTAGTTTTACAGCATTCATTAAATAAATATTCATAGATGCAGCAAATGATTTACATTCTAACATGGCCATAAGCTATGCAGATATACAAAGAAAATGAAAATATGTAAATACACATATACACACAAGGCAATATTTACTTGTGAAATGTCATGTAATTTTATTTGTGATAAATGAAAGACAACACCAAATAGCAAATGCATGCTACATGTATATCAATAATTAACATGTCTAAACTAGAAATAAGTGCACTATCTAATATATATTCATGCAAACTGGGATATTTTACAGTATTTTCTCTCCTCCCTCATTACCCATTTCTATGACAACATAATCTTCTGATGAATTTATGTCACAAGACAAAATGAAACAAACACCTGCACCTTCAACCTTTTTGAGGCCACATAGACAACAAACAGTTTGACAAATGTTTTAAAAAGATATACCAATTTTTGTTAATTTCTCCACAGAAAAAAATACTGTGAAATAGCCCATTGGAGGATTTCGATGAAATAATGATAAAATGTACTGGGAAAGAACAAGGCATGCCTGTTGAATGGTACCTTGGGACTTAAATTCCTTGGACACCTGCTGTGCAATCTCTTTCAGCCACATGTTAGTGTGAGACAATACAAATCTTTTTCCTGGAAGAGATTCCCCAGTGAAATTGTGTTAGAGGAGACAGAGTGTTTAAGATGTGATTGTGTTGAACATCCACATGGCTGTCTACTATTATCCTGTGTTCTGAAACATCAACCCAAGTTTTACTATGTAAGATCTAAACTAAAGAAATCACACATCTTTATTCACCGAAGGTGTTAGGTATTGTTGGCATTTTTTAGCTGCTTGGATTTACCAGCTTCCCTGAAAAAATATTTAAGTTAGTACTTTATTCTAGCAATCCTCTCATACTCTCAACCTTTATTATATTGATTGTTCATGGCTCCAAGGATTTCTATTTACTAGTGTTTTAGTGATAATAATAGCGACAGTCTTTCACAGGTGGGCAACCAACCTGATGTGACAAGAATGAAATGAAGCTTTTTTTATTAATAATTTGTTCCAAGGTATGTGAATATTATCACAAAAACTTTAGTAAATCTGAATCTTCAGATTCACACACACACACACACACAATTAATGTGAGAGGGGTGTTCTCTGAAAGTCAAACCTCAAACTTCCCAAATAAAACACTCCTGTGATGCTGAAGGAAGAATATTGTGTTAGGTGAGAATGAAGGATGTGCCAACACAATCTCTGTTGTATACCTTGAAGTAAAAACATTGTGTTAGGTGAGAATGAAGGATGTGCCAACACAATCTCTGTTGTATATGTTGAAGTAAAAACATTGTGTTAGGTGAGAATGAAGGATGTGCCAACACAATCTCTGTTGTATACCTTGGGGTTTGAATTCACATGACATAATTTTGGCCAACAGCATGCCTGAACCTATTGTCATCTGCTTAAATAAAACGCTTCTGAAAAAAGAACTTAAGTTCAATCAAATTCCACTGAAATTAAAATGAAACAGGCAGGCTTAAATTCAATAAAATTCATTTCTGTACTGGTCCATACATTATCATGACCTTGTTCAATATAATATAATAACAACAATACAATTTGTACATTACCATTCTCTAATTGGTAATTGTGTTGCCAGTTTGTAAATGAACAAATACATATCTTTATGTATAATAAAAATGAAAAAAGCTGCTCAAGTCAGCTATGCAATCCAGGAATGTTTTTCTGGCAACAGATTTGCTTGAGTTTAAAGAAAATTCATTTTGGAATCAGAAAAAAATCCTGACCTTCAGCTTCAGGCAGAGTCATGGCCCTGATGTGTGCCCTGGCCACGTCCCTCACGTCAACAATGGGAAAATTGAGCTTTGGGATTGCAGGCATGCTCCTCTCCAGGAGACGCTTGGGAATCTAAATGAAGAACGATTATAATATATCAAAAACTCACACATAGCACTTTCTGAGATGCTTGAACACAGATGTATATTTAAAAACAATTATTATCTTTTAATTCTGAGAAGTAGGTGAAGTAAGTGATCTACAATGAGAAAAATTCATTCCAAAACAAATGTGCTCAGTCATAGGCATTAAATTTACACAAATAAAAGAACATCAAAAAAGACATAAAAAATATTTCAAATTTCTTTCTTCTGAAACCATTTAATCAGTGTTAGACTTACCACCATGCTGGTAAAGTTGGAATTGTTGAGTACTGGTCCCATTACATAGGCTGGGTTGATCACTGCCAGACCAAATCTTTCTTCCTCTGATAACATGGAAATATTTTAATAATAATAATAATAATAATAATAATAATAATAATAATAATAATAATAAAATGCTACAACTGAAGACCATCAGGGAAGGCAGCCACTGCATTATGGCTTCAGTAATTTGTGAGAGATGACAGAGTTTATTGTATGTGACAGAATAAGGTGTGACTGTCTTTGTTAGGTGTGGCAGGTTGTACGACATGACTGTACATGACAGTCTTCAGGGCTAGCAACTTGGATGACATGGTATGACAGTGTGTTAGATGTGACTGTGTGTTAGGTGTGACAGTGTGTTAGGTGGACAGTCTGTTAGATGTGATAGTCTGTTAGATGTGACAGTGTGTTAGATGTGACAGTGTGTTAGATGTGATAGTCTGTTAGATGTGACAGTGTGTTAGATGTGACANTGTGACAGTGTGTTAAGTTTGACAATGTGTTAGATGTGACGGTGTGTTAAGATTAACAGTGTGTGTTAGCTGTTATAGTGTACCAGATATATCAGCACAATATACATAAGGCCTGACAGCTACATTATAAATATATTATACGGTGCATCTATTTGTTATGTACTGAAATCATGTCTCCATACCTGGCAATCCCTGTACATAGTCCCAGGCAGCCTTCTCTGCCAGTGTCTTACTCTTAGGGTAGGGGTCCACTTTGGTCAGATCTGTCCAATCATCCTCGGTAAATATCTTGTTTTGTTCAGAGGAAAATGTACCTGTAATGAAGACATTTTATTTCTCCAATAACCGTTTTCAATTCACACAATTCACAGTCTAGCAGGGAGATGAAGTGCATGTATACTTCAGGTATTTAGCCAAATTTCAGGAATTACAACAAAAATCTACATGGTAGTCTACTTACAGTTGCATCCACAAAAAATTACAACAAAATATATACAAAAAACCATTCTTTTAAAAATGTTTCATGAAGTATGCCATCATACCAAAATTATAGCAAAATATGAGAACAAAGTGTTAGAATAATATTTCTTCAAACCTCTTTAATTACTTATTTCAAGTCCATTGCCAATATTTCTACTCTTAATTGTCAAACATTGACATACAGGAGTATAGAAATAACTCAGACTTTAGAAATCGAATAAACTGTCATATTGTAGTTTTGCATAACACAGCTAATGAAATGCCTTGATGGATATGACCTATACACATGTATATATATATCCCTGTATAGAAGAGTGTCTACCTGCAATGGCGGCAACAGAGCTTGTCAACACCACCCTTTTGACTGTCCTGGCATCATGGCATGCCTTCAGCAGACTGGTGGTGCCCTCTACAGCCGGTCGAATAATCTCGTTCTCATCTTTGGGGTTCTCTGCAGGGAATGGGCTAGCAACGTGGATAACGTACGTACAGTCTTTGATTGCGCTGGAAGAAAATACTAAAATATCAAATTCAAATAATACCTTTGGTTTAGCATTCATGTTACTGTAATGACCCGATATTTCAATGGGGAAAATATATCATTCACAGATAATGCATTTAGTATATAAATCAATGTGAAATCAGATAATAGTAGCATCTTACAAATTCGTAGAATTCTGTTTTTGACCAATACATATTTCATGCACATGAAATATGAGTCATCATCTAGAAATGGATCGGTTTTTAACCACCCGATATTCATCCACAGAAATAAATAAATAAATATGTATATAAATAAATAGAATGCATACCTTGACCAACAATCTGAATTGTTTAGGTCTGCCTCAACTAGTTCAACGGGATACTTAGCCTCGGGGCAGAGTTCCCTGATATGTTGAACTTTCTCCTCATTATCCAGTGACCTGACAGTGGCCCTGACGCGGTACCCTTCCTCTTGTAATTGTTGTACAATATGTGTTGCTATGAAACCACTGGCGCCAGTCACCAGAACCACTGTAATAAGTCCAATATTAATATTGATAATACTCCGATGAAAATATTCAAAAATAAATAAAATATTGAAGTATCAGTAATTCCTGAACTAAATTGTAAGCAAGTTCTATGCAAAATAAACAAACTTACTTTTCAAATCTGACACAGAACTAGAGAATTTTTGTGAAACAAGTAGCACATTTTCTTAGGGGCTAAAAACATAAATGAAGCAAGTGGGTACAACTAACACATTTCACAATCAAGATCACAACAAGAACTAGAATGATAACAGGAGCTCTGAGGCCAGTGGGTTTCAGAAAAAGTTGGCCTTCACTTTCAGGTCAAATGATGTCAGACTTCAGCTTGGGACAAATGAGTAGAACTCAGCTAAAACAAAGCCAATGTTAGCCTAAAATATGGGCCATGCTTTGTTTAAAAACAGGCACCACATTTTATAGCAGGTCAAAGAAGCTTAAAATTTTGGTCAGGAATATTCAGACAAAACATTTGGAATGACGTTTTTTTTTTAATGAAACTGGACCCTGTTTTGCAGATCAACCAGTTTTTTTTTTTATTTCTGTCACCTTATTATTTATCTCTTAAAGAAAAACAAACAACATACAAGTGATATAACTTCGGTATACATAGCATAATCTCTTGGCAAAATGCAAAATCAATTTACAGCTCCAAAGACCCCAGTCATTTGAGTCAATTTGACCATATCAGCAAAAAGGCAAAAACATCTCAACCCTCCAAAACTAGTCCCTAGGGAATAGCCCCAACGTCTTCCCATTATACAATGCAATACTATGTACTACAAGAAGAACTCCAAGAATGCTTTACACTAAATCAAACAGAGACGAAAAATAATGAGGTTCAGAATGAGCGCTGACAGCTAACACCCTACTGTGCAACATAATATTGCTGCAAAATAAGATAATTACTGCGATAAATACCGAGAGAGGAAAAGGTTAAACTAGATAGGATTTGTTCTCAGCTACTGTTACAACTGGGAATCCATCATCAGTGCTACTGCCAATAGACCTACAGTGTGTGTTTGTAATTTCTCTCTCTCCTATTCCTCTTCCTTATTCTTCTCTCTCTCTCTCATTCTCTTTCCCTTTTTCTTTCTCATTTTTTTCTTTCTCTCCCTCATTCTCTCGCTCTCTCTTTCTTAGTACTAATTTGAATCAATGTGTGTACATGTGCCCAAGCGTAAACAGTAAACGTGTGGGCGTGTGTACTTCAGTGCGCATCAACATTGTTTAACACCCCATTTCCATAGATTTTTAGATCGATCTATCCCTGTGGGGAGTCTCACTAGATTACTGTCAGCTTGGCCAGCTTAAGCGTCTGTCCCGCCTACTAAAAGCTGTAAGGGGGTAATTAACTATGGTGTCCGCTCGGCTGACTGCAATTTAGCGTGAACCCCCAGGGAGTTAGGTCGATCTAAATCTTAATCTTTAGATCAATCTTAATCTCTGGGAAAGCACCCTAAGTTTGCCATCAAACACATTCCTATACAGTACCCACTTCGGCATGCTTTGTCTACACTTGCATGCATGCTAACACACGTCAGTTCCTGTTTTGTGAAGTTAGCGTAAATCTTCATTAGAAGTGTTAACCTATGGCTTCAAACTGTACAGATCAATGATTCAGTCAAGATCTTGGGGCACCAAGACCTCTTGTGGTACTTAGGAGTTAAAAACTGAAAGTATGTGATCACACACACAATCAACATAAAACAGAATGGAGTCAACTGCATGACTTGCTAAAAAAAAAAAAAAAAAAAAAAAAAAAAAACAGGATTTTACATTTTAAGATGAGAATCGTGGACTTCCATGCTATTTCTTAGTAGAAAACAGGTTTGAGCAGTCTTAAAATATATATCAAGTACTACATGTACCCAAACTTTTATTCTCTTTCCGTATGTTAAGTCCAATGAGTTCCTCGTAAATAAATTCAATGTACAGCGCTATTATGCCTATACATTCAAAATCACAAAGTATTTACTTCAACCTGTGTGATGCACATATAGCATACAAGATTACAAATTCAGTGCATATGAACATTGCCTCAAATCTCAAATCTTTACATATAACTCAAAAACTAATTACCAGTTGAACAAGTTACATGTTAAGTCCCCCAGACTTTCCAAAAAGACCCACATTTCAGCCTAAAGAGACCCTGTGTGAGCAGGCTCCCCTTCTGAACCAGACTCACCCTAGAGATTGAGCCAAAATCCCCACAACGTAAACAAGCCTTCTCAGCTGAGACCACCCCACATGTGACAGCTGTGGCTTCTGTCCCGTGTGTGAAATGTTACCTCAATGTTGATACAATTAACACACCTCACACCCTTAGACCCTCCACACAGTACAGGCATGGTTCCAGGCCTTAGAAACAGATAAGGCATTTACTAAGACCCCGTTCCCACAGATTTTAGATCGATCTATCCCTGTGGGGAGTCTCACTAGATTACTGTCAGCTTAGCCGGCTTAAGCGTCTGTCCCGCCTACTAAGAGCTGTAAGGGGGTAATTAACTATGGTGTGCACTCGGCTGACTGCAATTTAGCGTAAACCCCCAGGGAGTTAGGTCGATCTAAATCTAAATCTCTGGATCAATCTTAATCTCTGGGAATGCATTCTTCTGGGGCCCTTCAGAATAGAAGGTCCGAGTATAAACTGGTCCAAGGAACAAATATGGCAGACCCTACGCTTAATCCTGTTATAGTCTCTCTGCCTCTCACACCCCTCCCCAGGGATGGTCCCTGCAGAGGTACAGTAATTAAATCTCATTTTCTTTCATTCAGACGCCTGGGGAGGTGTGTGGAGGCCTGTGACAGGAGGAGAAACCATTACTGGGTTCCTCTCATGTAGTAAGTAGAGTCTGCCATATTTGAGCCTTAGACCAGATGATACTCGGATCTTCTATATGAGTGGCCATTTAAGCCGCATTCACATCGAATTGAGCCATGGCTCTACAAAGCTACGACCTAAATATGGTGGATGTACATGAAAGGAAAACTGCCTAATCTTTTAATAGTCTCTCTGCCTTTCACATGCCTCCCCATGCATCGTTCCTGCGGGGGTACAGTCATTACATCTCGGCTCCACTGGGACGACACATGGGGAAGCGTGTGAGAGGCGGAGAGACTTTTAAAAGATTAGGCAGTTTTCCTTTCATGTACGTCTGCCATATTTAGGTCGTGGCTTTGTAGAGCCATGGATTAACTTGATGTGAATGCGGCCTTACACTACTCACAGATCTTTAGACTAAACCCACAAATTAACCAGCACGCCGTACAAACATTTAGCACTTTCATATCACTTTTTTCTTTTCCTTTTTCGTTATTCAACCAAAATTAAATAGTAGTAAAAAAACAATATTTATGTATCATGCAAATTATCACACATTCCTGCTGTCATGTAAGTATACATGTTTGTCTTCATCAGAACATTAGCCGTTAATTCTCTAAAAAGTCAAATCTTGGTAACAGAAGTTTCTTACCAGCATAAAGCTAAACATTGCAGATCTCCGGTGTTCAAGTGTTACACTAACATTATCATGTTTTCAAAGCAAACAATTAGACATGTAACCAATGTGGCAACTAAGCCAATCACTTTTTTTTTCAGTGCAAGTAAAGATTGGAATTCTTTTAGTGTGTTCAGACACAGCTGTTTAGGTCCATGTTATGTTGTCATATATAATGAATCCATTTCATCATTTTGCTGACCAATAGAACTGAATTTCTACAATTGTTTAAATTGACACAAACAGGGGATAAAAGAGAATGATATAGTTTATTTTCTTTCCAATTAAATAATCCAAACCAAAAATGTAGAATACGGTGTGTGTGTGTGTGTGTGTGTGTGTGTGTGTGTGTGATTACATAACTGTGCCACAAAAAGAGAACAAAGAGTTACAGTTTTCCGAGGCAAAAGCAGAACAGTTCAAACCTATCTTTTCAAATGCCTCACTTTTTCAAAATTTATCTTTTATTTTTGATACTCACAAAAATGTATCTTGTGACACAAAGCCAACCAACTTTTCAAAACATTTACACCCACAGTTTTAACTTTACAAACAAAACACTTCTGGATGGAAACTGATCACTTTACAGTATGTTGGTCAAAATGATTCAGTATAAATCTCCGCAGTATGTCCCTAGATGCAGCAGCTTGAGGGCACTTCATGCAACAACCAGACAGATAATAGCCTTGAACATCTGTCTGTCTGAGGTTACTGTACTTAAACAGACAGCTTAATTCAACAAAGGCACAGCAATATGACATAATATCAGGACTATGGTTATTACGTCTCAGGCTCTGCCAACAAAGAGAATTATATGTTTGGGTTCATTCCCAATAAAGATATTAGGGGCAGATCCAGAGCTATTTTCTGACAGTCTTCCAAATAACCAGTATCTTTGTTTACCCATCCTCCATTTTTGACCATCTTCTGACGAAAAAAAAATAGATAACCGTCAATGTAAACTTGAAAATCTGACCGTCTTCCAGAAGACCCAGAAGACAGCCTCAATCTACCCCTGGACTATCATTCTACCTAAACTGATCCAAGTGAGGACTCTTGCTGAATGCAATCAGATGAACAGCTCTAGATTACCTTGCCTCTTCCTAGCATTGTGTAGAATACAGAAAATCTGCATGGTGACTATACGAGGACATTAGATACAAAAAGCGGGGTATACACATGCATGCTCTGTCATGTATCTTTCAAAATCTGTGTGTGTTCGTGTGTTCGTGTCCATCATGTGCATATGAGTGCACATGCATGCACATTTATGTCCTCAACCATACAGCTACAGAACGCCCAAACATAAACACGTAAAGCCTGGTCTTGCAGGTCACGCCAGTTCAACAAACCAACAACCTCAACTCTTCAAATTAATGACCCCATAAAGACCCTAAAATTGCCACTTTCCCTTGTCCTATTAAGGCCCTGCCCTCAACACCCCCTGGTGGTCTGAAGTGGAACCACCTGACCTCTTAGATAAAGG